CTCCGACACTTCCGCCATCTGCAATCCGACCCCACCACCAAAGACATTTTTCCCTCCCCACCCTTATCTGCTTTCCGGAGGGACCACTCTCTCCGTGACTCCCTTGTCCGCTCCACACTCCCCTCCAGCTCCACCACACCCGGCACTTTTCCCTGCAACCGCAGGAAGTGCTACACCTGCCCCCATACCTCCTCCCTCACCCCCATCCCAGGCCCCAAGAAGACTTTCCACATCAAGCAGATGTTCACCTGCACATCTGCTAATGTGGTATACTGCATCCGCTGTTCTCGTTGTGGCCTCCTCTACATCGGGGAAACCAAGCGGAGGCTTGGGGACCGCTTTGGAGAACACCTACGCTCGGTTCACACTAACCAACTACACCTCCCAGTCGCGAACCATTTCAACTCCCCCTCCCATTCCTCAGACGACATGTCCATCCTGGGCCTCCTGCAGTGCCACAACGATGCCACCCGAAGGTTGCAGGAACAGCAACTCCTATTCCGCTTGGGAACCCTGCAGCCCAATGGTTTCAATGTGAACTTCACAAACTTCAAAATCTCCCCTACCCCCACCGCATCCCAAAACCAGCCCAACTCGTCCCCGCCTCTCTAACCTGTCCTTCCTCCCAGCTATCCCCTCCTCCCACCTCAAGCCCCACCCCCATCTCCTACCTACTAACCTCATCCCGCCCCCTTGACCTGTCCGTCCTCCCTGGACTGACCTATCTCCTCCCTACCTCCCCACCTACACTCACCTTTACTGGCTCCATCCCCGCCTCTTTGACCTGTCTGTCTCCTCTCCACCTATCTTCTCCTCTATCCATCTTCTATCCACCTCCCCGTCTCTCCCTATTTATTTCAGAACCCTCTTCCCCTCTGCCATTTCTGAAGAAGGGTCTAGGCCCAAAACATCAGCCTTCCTGCTCCTCTGATGCTGCTTGGCCTGCTGTGTTCATCCAGCTCTACACCTTGTTATCTCAGATTCTCCAGCATCTGCAGTTCCTACTAACCCAGGCTTCAGTGATAGTCTGCTTTCTTTGCCACTTTGGATTCATTGTTTTCTCAAATCATCTTTTCCTTCACATAGAATAGATTTCTTCTCATCTACCATATCTGTCATTAGAAGTTTAAACCATTGATTTAAGTGTAATACATTAATCTCTTACTTCCAAGACAACAAGGGTCTGATGAAGGGTCTAGGCCCGAAACATCAGCCTTTCTGCTGCTATGATGCTGCTTGGCCTGCTGTGTTCATAGGATTCTCCAGCATCTGCAGTTCCTACAATCTCTTACTTCCATTTTGATTTCTTACTTTCAAATCATAAACGCAGTCAATTACTGAAAATAGTCCATGTATCTTCAAGAGCACCCCACAACTTCACAGAACCTTCTGATGTGAGTAGGAAAGGTTCAACATTAAGTTCCTTATTATAAAGATGGCCTTATTTTATTGACCAGCAATCAACAATCAAAATGACCGATTTAATCCCTAGAACTGTTTCCAAAGCATTGTTTGACTAAAAACTTTGGCAGAAACCATAATTGCCAGATTTTAATTTTTATCTGAAACATGAATCCCATTTCTTTTACTTTTTCCTTGTGTCTAGATCACTGTAAGGGGAGTTTCTTCCTCATAGCAATTCTCTTCCCAGCTTGTAAATAGTTCATGAATGGGTGATTTGATCAAAGTTTGTAGCACATTAATCTACCTTTATCCTTCATTTTTGACTGGCCTTAGATTGAGTTTGCATTCTCAGATGTTTTGGGAATACTATGGTTAACTCATCAGTATTATCCTTGCGTGAACATGTTTCTTCTTATCACAGAATGCATGCCTGAAGTCGCTATTTTTTAACAAATTAGTATGTTTTACATGAGCCAATGAGGTGAAGTTAGCCATATTACAACTCCAGTAAATAAAAGGCATGTAGAAAAGTGAATGGATCACTAGAAAAAGTTCACACATCCATGCAGGACCTTTCCATCTTTGTGTCAATTCAGCCACTATCCAAGAAATTAACAACTGTCAACTGACCTAGAAATAACAAATACTACTGTTTACACTACCATAGTCATTAACACTTTCAACCTAGAATATCGCTGTTTGATCACTAAAGCAGTAACCAATTAATATAAAATGAATTAATTCCATACACTGTGACAGCCACGTATTGTGCGGTAATTGTAATACCTCCAATACTATCCCAACTGCAAGCTATTAAATCAGCAGAGATTGGAAGTCAAATCTTGGATTTTTTAGTTTGTGTGATTTATCAAATGGTTATCAGTTATTACTTGGTTGATAGCACACACTCACATCTAGTCTGAGGTTTGTAGGTTCAGGTAACATTCCAGAGTCACAAGCACAAAATCTGGTCTGATATTTGCAAATTGCTGCCTAGCTGGCTGTTTTCTCGGGTGAATGTAAAACTATATAACTAATACAGATTATCTGATCATCATTCTATTACTGTTTGTGGGAGCTTCACCATGAGATTTAGAAGCAGATTCCCTTATTAAAAATCTGCCTATCTCAGCAATGAAGATACTTAATGACCCAGCCTCAACTGCCCTCTGCTGTAAAGAATTCCACGGATTGACTGTGCTCTGAGAGAAGAAATTCCTCCACATCTCTGACTTGCTTCTGTACTTGTTTCCTACATTAAGCAGTTGCTACACGTTAAGAGTACTTTGTTTGCTGCAAAGCGATTTGGAATGTCTCAAGGTTGTGAAACCTGCCATACAATTGCAAATACTTTCTTCTTTATTACTTGCATACACTTACTAAGCTATTGAGGAATTCTGAAAAGGCACTTCAATATATGTCACAGTTGTAGACACTTGAATGGAAGATACTGTCTGAAACTCCTTTCACCTTCTAATGCAAGTTTAAAACAATGAGACTTTTCCAGGTGTGACAATGTTTTTGCTTCCTTTAAATGAAACTGAATACTTTTGGTGGAAAATGCTGACATATTTTAACAAAGTAGTGTTTTACATTATTATACATATTGTTGTTTGTTTTCCATACACACAAATCTCCTGATTCTGATTGTGGTCTCAAGGACAAGGACAAAATGGAGATGAGACACTCACTACCAGGAACTAAAACCAAATGATAAAGAAGCAAAATATTGCTGGAAATCTTGCAAAAACAAACAGAAAATGCTGGAAATATTTGACAGTTTAGGCAGCATTTGTGAAGTTAATATTTTCATTTATTAACCCACAATAAGAACTCGAGAAATGTGAAACATATAACAGTGCTAAGGAGATATGGGGATAAGGAAAGATGGGCAAAGACTAAATTACAAAAGAGATGATGATGCAACCCAAAAGTAATCTGATGACTATGAGACATCACTAAGTCACAACAATATGAGGATAAGCAGAAATCTTATCTGATCTGCCTATCCTTTTCGTTGGTGCAACATCTGCTGGCCAGCAAAGGAAAACTTGGTGGAAATTTCTGATGGAAATGCATTGATATCAAGAATTCTCTACTGTACAAAGGAGCATATCGAATAGTATAGTGGATTCAAACATTTTTCTCTACCGCTTCATAAAACTTACTTGACGAGCCTTTTTACTCTGTTGCCTGATAAAGGTAATAAATCATTTTTACTTGCAGTGCCAAAGCTAACAGGATTTGATGCATGATTTAACAGGACTGTTTTTCAATTTTTGCATATTACTCCTGCATCAGTTGTGTTCAGTCACTCAATTAATATAAGGGCAAACAAGTTGAAGGACATTCTAATGAGTTTCCCGTTTACAATCCTGTATATGAGTGATCCATGGGGAGAGTTTCCCTTTTTTGGTGACTTGTGTCTGCCCTGGTTATCTTGGAGAATGATTTTGTGGCATTCACCAATAGACTGGGACCTTTCTGTAACCTTTGGTCATAGGAGGACACCATCTGTAACTTGATGAAATGAAATCATGATTTAGTTTTATTATTGAACATTTTAGTTTGGGCCATATCTAGTCATGGCAATATAATTGGGCGACCCAGTATGTGCTATTTTTCCATTTCAAAGTAGACCTAACCTCAATACTATGGAATGACCTAAATTGGAGAGAAAGTAAAATAACAGCAATCTTGTAGTGAAAATATTCTGCGCTAAATTTCTCAATAAATGATGGTCTTTATGTGATAATAGAATCTAACAGAACAGGAGGTTAATAATGACACTCTTCATAGAGAACAGATTAGAGGGGCTTAAAGACAATGGCCTGTTTTCACTGAGAGTGAATTTGAATTTCCTGGTTAAACAGACAGCAATATTTGAGATTGTTTGTTTGTTTGTTTGTTTGTTTGTTTATTTCCTCCCACATTCCACCCCCCTCCCTATTCTATAGGTATGCTCTTGTACCAAAAGGGGAGACTCCAGATGTTCGAGTTGGTCACACTCTCACATATGTACCAGATACCTCTGAGGAAGGGAAAGTCATTATAGTTGGAGGAGCAAATCCTAATGGAAGTTTTTCTGATGCCTATATATTAGATCTGGGTAACAACATTGTTATTTTTAAATATTTTGTTTTGCTTGTAACTGTTAATATTTGGTTGATTGAAAATTTAAATTTTATTGATATGCAATTCCAGAATTAACTTTGCTGAAGTTGTTTTTCCTTCCCTCTGCACACAACAGAGATTTTTGCTACTAACTGTGTAATAGTTTGATTAAGAAAACAACATGTTAGCAATACCATTTCACATAAGCTCAGAACTATGATTCCTTGCATTGTGATTTCAGTGTCTGTTATGTTTTTGTTCTGTTCTCCTATGAGAAACCCCTTAGAAAATTAAAGAAATGACCTCATTGTATTCACGTTTTACCGCTATTTGGATTTCCCTTTGTTACCTGCTTTAATAGTTTCATGAGATAGAATAGTTCTGTTGGATTTAAATCAATTCTGCTCTGTGATTTCACAATGATTCTAAAATGAAATGAAATTTTAACTTCCCGTCAGGGAGAATCCAAGACATAACACTAAGTGACACAGTAGAAAGGTTCCAAATATATTACAGTGATGAATCTAGAAGTCATGGGACCTAAAACCAAGGCCACTGGATAACACTGTAAATACTGTATTGTTATCAGGGAGCCAGTTAGCTTGGTTGGCCGGATTGCTGGTTTGCAATGCAGAATGACACCAACAACGTAGGATCAATTCTTGGCTGAGGTCATGATCAAGATACTACCTTCTCAGCTCACTCTGTCACCTGAGGCATGTTGACTCTAGATTAAATTCACCACCAGCCATTTCTGTCTCTAATGAGAGACTATTCCCATGGGACTATGGTGACTTTACTTTTTATTGTTATTGGTTACTATCAGTTACAACATGTAGATATTAAAGTTGTGTATTATATACAGTGTGAATTTATTTCCAACAAAATGTCTTTAAGCTTATATTTCAAAAATGTTCTCATACATTAGACAACTGAGTTCCTCAAAAAGTTCAGTTAATGTTTCTTGGTGATGTGCAAAAGACTCTTGATTGCCTCTGCAGAATGTTTATCCACTTCTGTAATTAAGAATACTTGGAACCTGTTCATTGTCAATTAATATAGAAGAGTATTCTCTTCTATTTCCCCACTTTTACAACTCATTGAGTCATCTTTTGCATTGTTTGTTTTTAGTAGCGGCATTTTAATGGCTGTTGTACCAAATTTCCTCATTGAGATTATCTCTCTTTATTGCTTATAACTACATTCACTGATTTTGTTCCTGATAAATAGGCAAACATGAGTGGAATGTACCAGAGTGGAAGGGGTTACTTCCACGATATGAGCACTCCAGCTTTATTTCAATGAGCAGACCTGGTGACCTCTGGCTATTTGGTGGGGCAAATGAATGTTCAAACAGGAACTGTGTTCAAGTTTTGAATTTCGGTAACATAATATTTAATATGTTGAATGTACTGCTATTACTCAGTTTCAAACAACCAGATTCTTAGAATCCTAATGACTTTTGTATAATGTCAATATCCTTTTGTGATTTATATGTGAGAACATTTTGGAGAAACATGACACCAGAGTGAGGATTATACTTACAAATCTTACATTCCCTCAAAATTCCATACTGCAAGTAAAAAAATACGTATGTAATAGGAAATTTAATAGTACCATTGTGTGATAAACCTTAAACTTTACTTCGCAATATTTTATATTGTTGAAAAATTACATTCATGTGTAAGTTGCAATTTCTGCATGGAATTTAATGTTCTTTATGTATACTGTTAATGCAATAAGTAAATATTTATAATTTTTAAACAGAAAATGAAATACTGAAAAAATGGTCTTGGTTCCAAAACTAATAACTTATGTTTAAGAGGAATGCAAATACAAATCAGGTGAATCAATATCTGAAAAAAAAACCATGCAAAATGATAGCCCATCATCAACTATCTGTGCATTTCAATAAATTGCTTCATTTGCACTTTTGAAACAAATTAAACTCACCACAAAAAGTTCGGCAAACAACCCTTTTGATGAAATTTATGTTCCTACAATGTTCCTTAGCATTTCCATCCTAGAAAGGAAATGTTTAAAACTATGGAATTTCATTCTTACATGTAGTAAATGTTCTTGCTGATTTTTAAAACTTAATTTTACTATGTGCCATGCTGAGGTTGTGTGTTTGTTCTACTCATTTTAATTGAAGACTAATGCCTTTTATTAAAGCATCAAAACAGAAAAACCAAAACAAATAATCGTTCCTTTCACCTGTGTGTGTTGTCTAAATCAGAAACTGGTTTGTGGAGAAGTCCAGCAGTAAATGGCACTCCACCAACACCCCGGACATGTCACGGTTCTACTGCAGCTATTGGAGATTGCCTTTATGTGTTTGGTGGTGGAGACAAAGGAGCAGAACCTGTACCAGATACACAACTCTACGTGTTTGATAAAGGTATAAATAATAAATATGCTGCTACATCATGGCATATGAGAATTTGAGTATTGCAAATGCTGGATAAATTGTCAGTGTTTAGGAACTGACAGTACTTTTTCCCCAATGAAAATACTAATGCAAATACATCTATTTCTTTAGCCACACTTAGCTGGTCACAGCTATCAACAGAAGGAAACCCACCAGATGCAAGACATGGCCATGTGATGATTGCTGTGGGTAGCAAATTGTTCATCCATGGAGGATTAGCAGGGGACAAATTCTTTAATGATATGTATGTAATTGATACAGGTAGGTTCTGCACATAAACAGTTATTTTGAGATATGAAAAAATAAGCTTGTAACAATCCTTATTATTGATTGGAAGTATTTTGGAAATTTTGCAGATTCACAGGCTGATCTGTCCCAGTGCATGGAAACCAAAAGCCAGGGGGCACAGTTAAAGAGATTGTAAACAAATGCAGCAGATAACTCAGTAGCTTTGGGGAAGATTTTGGCAAGGTGGTAATGAATCCAGAAGTGCAGGCTAACTCTCTGGGAACATGGTTTTAAATCCCACCATCCTAGCTGATGGAATTTAAATGCATTTTTTAATATTCACACCATAAAAATTGCCTTAGTAACCATAAAATATGAAATATAACTATTGATTTATTATCAATTGACTTAAAACCTATCTGATTCACAAACGTCCTTCAGGGAAGGAAACCTACTGTCCTTAACTTGTCTGGCTGACATCTGAACCTAGACTTACAACAATGCAGTCAACTCTTAATTGCCTTTTGAAGTGGCGAGTTCAATGACCATTCATTTCAATAACAATTATGGCTAGGCAACAACTGCCAGCCTTATCAGTTTTACCCACATCAAAGAATTAAAAATATTAACAGAAGAAAAAAACCTGGATGGGAATTACAGAAATAGGTTACTATAAATCTAATGTTTTGAGCCCGATCTGAAAGCAAACAATTTTAACTTCTAAAAATGTATCAGTTAAAAATCTAGATACATTCTGAAAAGCTTTTTCATTTTTAATGCATTTGGTGTACAGCTGTAGTTAACATGAGATGGAAAAAAGTAAAAATGAAGGGTGACATCCCAAGAGGCTGTGCAGCTCATTCTGCAATTTATCATGGAAAGTACATCTTCATCTTTGGTGGTATGGATGTCACAGGAGCTTTGAATACCATGTATAAATATCATGTTGGTAAGTGCTTTCAAATCCCTCTGCATTTTCAGGTTCAGTAATTGATTATAAAGTTATTAATTTGAAAATCCATCTGGCAACAAACTAGTCCCAGTAAGTTATGTTAGAATGAACTGTATTTGATTTTCAATAAACTTCATAAGTTACTTCTCCTTGGCAAATGAAAATTGCATTCTGCAGTTGTTCTGTTAAATATTTTGAGAACCTTTTTGTTCAAATATCCAATACAATTTCAGTTTAATTAGTCATATGATAAATAGACATGGTTACCAGTAGTCATAATAAAATGAGGGAAGCCAAACTGACTCAGCCTTCTGTTTTCTAGAATTTTATAATTTAGTTATTACACTCACATAGTTTTGGTTACTTTCTATTGGGCAATTTAATTTTTTTAGAAATCTTTTCCTGCCCTGTTCAATATTTTTTAAGAAATCCACCACCCTGATAATACCACGCTCCATGTGCGAATCACGAACAGGACAGGGGACAGCCGGTTTCCTGGCATTTGCCAAGACAAAATTAAACCTGAAAGAACTGTGGATGTTGGATATCAGAAACAAAAACAGAAATTGCTGGAAAAGATCAGCAGATCTGGCAGCATCTCTGGAGAGAAATCGGAGTTAACGTTTCGGGTCCAGTGACCCTTTTGAAAACACCTCACAGATGCAGCCTAGACCTACTGATCTTTTCCAGCAAGGTTTCCTCCCACAGTCCAAAGATGTGAAGGCAAGCTGGATTGGTTATGCTAAATTGCCTGTAGTGTTCAGGGATGTGTAGCTTAGGTGGGTTATAAGGGGATGAGTCTGGGTGGGATGCTCCAAGGGTCGGTGTGGACTTCTTGTTGTTTCCACACTGTAGGGATTCTTAAAAAAAAATTCTGTTTTTGCATCTGCTCACACTAATTTGTTACCAATCATTGGACAGCATATTACATGCAATGGATAACTTATAAAATTCCATCACCAGTTAATTTGGACATTTTCCTTTCTTTTAGATCTAGTGTTTCTTTCCCTTTGGCTGTTCTTTTATGTCTGCTGTTTATTTTTAAATTCTGGTTTTTGTAACCATGATCACACCAGAGAATGGCAATTTTGTACACTTTTCACTGTACTCCTGTATTCTGATACTTGACTACACATGGCAATAAAATCAAATATATATCTCAGCCATAGTAAGAGTCAGTGTTTAAAAGATACAATTTTCTTTCCCCATCTTGCAGTTTCCTAGCCACAATAGAGATTAAAAAAAAATCATGCAAGTGAACACTTAGGTTCGCCACTTAAACATTCAGTTTTTGAGTTTTATTTTAAATTGCAGACTTTAATTTGTTTTCATTAGAAATGAGCTGCTGGACACACTTGGAATTTGGTTCCTCCCTCCCAACAGGACGGCTGGATCATGCCATGTGTGTGATACCCTGGAAAATAAGAATGGAAAATGACACTTCCACTCCTGCAGCAAACAGTATTGATGAACTGTCATCAAAGGTGAATAAACAGGAGGAATCTAACCTGCAAAGTAAGACTGATGTAAATCTTGCGCCAAGAAATTGTACAGTGGTTCAAAACCAAACAGAGAACATTGTGAATCTATGCTTGGTTTTTGGTGGAATGGACACTCGGGGAGAAATTTATAATGACTGTTTTGTCACACTTATTGATGGGTATTAATTGTGTATCCCTACTCTTAGCATAGTTACCATTCATTTGCAAAACAACTCCCCCAACATGATTTTGTAATAGTAGTGTGGATGCTGGAAGTGCTCAGTACTGGCAGCACGTGGTAAATACCAACTTCTCCAGCAAGAATTTCTAGCCTCTTTAAACTCTACCAATTCATTCTTTCCTTAAAAAGTCTATAATACTAAATATTGTAATGTTTTCCAATCCTCAACTTTTCCTTAACTTAGAGATGTTCTGAAATTATTTTCTGCCCCACTGATAGTGGAACTAGCACACTTAGTGAACAGGACCATGGTACAGTTTATGCTGTGACAAAATATATCCTATATTGTTGAGTCATGCCAATTAACTTAGCCTAGAATTTAAAAGTCTGAAGTAGTGTAGTTAAGAGGCAGGGGTGTTGTTAAAAAATGTTATAAAACTGGACTTGATCTATGATCTTTGAAGATCAGTATCAGGCAGCTCATCCCTCAATACCCCAACAAGGGCAACACCTGAAGGCCAGCACAAGGCCTGTAACCTTTATCCACTCTTACCCACTTGTGCAAGCAGAGGACTAGATCAGTTAAATTTAATCACAAGGGAATAACTTGTTAATCAGTGCAGTGTAGTACTAGTGTGAAGTGCTATCTGAATGTGAAACTCCAAGACATTGTGCAGGTATAAAATTAGTCTTAACGGGTGGGGGGGTCATAGACATTTTATTGAATTTGTAATGTTTGTACCTTACAGAATTGTACATCTTTTTAAAAAGTTGAAATCAATTAAACCTGGAGTATAAAAAGTTGCTTGAAATTGTACATCCTACAGTTTTGTTCATGTGCCTCTTTAATGTCCACAGTAAACTTTGTTCATTCTGGAACAAATACCATTCCAGGGAGTTAGCAACATTGGATTATAGATTTGGCATTAGTCAACTTCAATACCAAGAGTGAGAAGTTTGTTCTTCTATTTCTTTCCTCAGGAAAAAGTGAATGTTATCCTGGAATTCAAGTTAAGCCTCAAGATTCAAGTGTGACAATTTAAAACATTGATTCCAGCACTAATCAGGGGAAAAAAAAAAAATTGCCTGGAAAAAAAAGCCCCTCTGTTACTTAATCTCAACAGGCCAAGTTGAATTGTTTAGAAGCATAAACACCAGTTCTCAATCCAACAAAAACAATTGTCATCTACTTTGTTAGTTGCAGTATCTTGTTGGAAACAGTTATCAGACACTAAATTTTAGCTGTCCTAAATCTACTAGCTACCATGACAGTTTGTCAATGGAACAAAAATATGTTGGTCTGGGTTAATAAACCAAATTTCTAGGGTGAATCTGTCCACAATTTCTAAGCCTGCAGAATTCAACTAGTGGAAGGAACTATTACTTCTCCAGTTTGCCAAAACTTCAGTCTAAAATATTAGGCCAGGTGTCTCAATTTAGCAATTGGCATTTAATTATTTCTTTTGACCAAGGGCAGAAATACAACTTAAATTTGTTATCCAAATCCTTATGTATACTGAGATATGGGAAACTCAAACTTTAGGTTGATCAGAGCAATTTTACCCAAATTTGTATGCATGTATTACTGCAGGCTGTTAGTTCATTCTACTTTATGCACTCAAGGCCCAGACACTTGAGCACAATTTTGCCTTTCACTGCAAATAGGACCTTCCTTACTTTCCTGGTGTTTAAAATCAGCAGTTTTGCCACTGATTTAGTCAAATGGTGGTATGGTATCCAATCATAATAACTTGTTGCATTCAGGCAGACTTGTGCCATTCAATCTTGTGCAGCTGGGATATCATTCATAAACATGCTCAGAAAACAAAAAGGGGTGTTTCAAATGGGTGAGTGTAACATCTATGAATTAAAGACCCTGAACAGGATACATTTGTCAATCTCAGTATTTTCTTTCCAAAACATCTACACCCTCCAGACAAGGTAATGTTTGTATCAAACATAACATTTATTGGTCAATACAGTAGAAAACATTCTACACTTAGACAGACCAAACAAAGGGATTCCAAATAAATAGAAAAATGGGTACTGGAGAACATTGTACTCAGCCTTGACAACTCAAATTTCCAATCAAGCTCTCCCTCTGGCTAACATGCTGAAACTGCATTGGAAAGTTGAGCCTCTTGAGAATTTCAGTCCACTCAAGTGAAAATTGTGCACATACATTCAAGAATTAAGTCCTTATCATTCAGATAAATCTTTCTCAAACACGCCAATATTTACAAAATTAAAGAGTCCTTGGATTACAACTCATCCTTTTCAGTCTCCTCTTCTTCTTCTGGAGGAGGTCCACCTGCACTTCCATACAGCTTACTTATAATTGGCTGAACAATTTCTTCAAGTTCCTTCTTCTTAGCTTTGAATTCTTCAATGTCAGAATCTTGGTGACTTTCAAGCCACTCAATCTTTTCCTCCACAGCTTTCTCAATAACTTCTTTGTCCTCTGTTGACAGCTTTCCACCAAGTTTCTCTTTATCACCAATCTGATTCTTCAGAGAATAGGCATAGCTCTCCAGGTCATTTCTGGCATCAATACGTTCTTTGAGTTTTTGATCCTCTTCAGCAAATTTCTCTGCATCATTCACCATTCTCTCAATTTCTTCTGGGGTCAGACGGTTCTGGTCATTTGTAATAGTGATCTTGTTTTTATTTCCAGTACCTTTGTCTTCAGCTGTAACACGTAGGATGCCATTTACATCTATTTCAAATGTGACTTCAATCTGAGGAACACCACGAGGTGCTGGAGGAATACCAGTTAGGTCAAAGGTACCAAGCAGGTGATTATCTTTGGTCAGTGGACGCTCACCTACAAGAAACAAGAATGATATGGATGTCAGCCTTGTGGCAACGAGACAAGATTATAGAATCATGCAGTGCAGAGGTGCCATTCAGCCTGGAGACAACACTGACCCTCTGAAGAGCATCCTACCCAGCCACCCCACACTTCCCATTGCTAGCCAACCTAACCTGCACATCTTTGGACTGTGCGAGGAAATCAGAGCACCGAGAGGGAACCCATGCAAACAGGGAGAACATGCAAACTCTAGAAGGCTGGATTTGAACTTGGGTCCCTGTGCTTATTTTCTCTGGTTTTTAAAATTTCCATCCCCCTGCTTTAATAGAATGCTTCTAAAACTATCATTCTCGATGTGTTTTTGCTTGGAATAGGTGACTTTCAGTTTACATAATGATCATGCTGTTATTATAATCTGTCCACATTGAACTAGAGTATTATAACACTGCCCATAAGCTGCTTAGTGGTTAAAATACCAGTGGTCTTTTACCTGATATCTATTATTTCAATTCTCGACAGTTCATAGTCTTGAAGATCCATAGTAATAATGCAGAACAAAATTGCAAATTGAACCAATTTAATTATTTTATTGCAAAATTTGGATTTTTGTACTCTGCAATTTACAACACAATTGAAGGTTCTGCAACACAACCCTGCTTGACAGCAGCGGAATCAAAAATCAGTGTACACAGTCAAGGCTATGATCTCAAAAGAAAAAAACTTTTGCAGACCCATCTTGCTACTTTGTGGTTGAGAAGACAACGACAGAAGTGTAGTTAATAATCCCTTGGACAGGGACAGCTGCTGGGCTTTGTTTGGAAGGGCAGTGACATTTTCACATTTACAATTACCACAAGAATTGACAGATAGTCATTGACAGCAACTAAAATAGATTTTTTTTTTTAGAAAAGTGAAATTAGATTGGATACTCACTTATTTAATACTCTCCCAAACCAAGAGCTCCTCACAATACAATTCACCTTACCAGATGATAATTCAATTTAGAATGCTACAAAGATATGCAGTTCAGACAATAGCCAGTGTATGAATGCAGTCAAGTGGTTCTGCTGTTGACATGATGATATACTAGGACCTCTGTCTTTAAAGGTTTCTCAAAAGAGATGAAGCAGCTTATACAACCAGAAGCTGTCAAATATAGTTAAAATTACTGCATAGTCGAAGTCAGAGTGGAAAGTGTGTTTCTGGAGCAGTTATGAAAAAAGATAGTTGAAGAGCTTTCTTTTTTACATCCAGGAAAACTTAGCTGCTTGATGCCCCCTGCTGCAAGTCAGTTCTGCATTATTCCATTCAATATTATGGACTGAACAGCACAGAACATGATGGCAGTATCTCCTTGTAGCAAAGTTCTTATCAATATACAGAAAAAGGTTAAATTAAATTGCAACCTACCTTCATAGACCTTGATTGTTACAGTAGGTTGGTTGTCAGAAGCAGTTGAGAAAATCTGAGACTTTTTAGTTGGAACCACAGTATTACGTGGTATTAACTTGGTCATGACACCACCAACAGTTTCAATTCCAAGAGTCAAGGGGCAAACATCCAGAAGAACAAGATCACCTATATTTTTTTGGGCAAGTAGAAAGCAGCATGTTAGAAAACCAATCATTTCATATGTGAAGTTACTCTGCAGTAAAATCAACTCTAATCATCATACAATTCCTGACACTTACCAGTATCTTCCTCTCCTGATAGAACACCAGCCTGCACTGCTGCACCATATGCCACAGCCTCATCAGGGTTGATTCCACGAGATGGTTCCTTCCCATTGAAAAACTCCTTCACCAGTTGCTGAATTTTAGGAATGCGAGTGGAGCCACCCACAAGTACAATTTCATCAATTTCAGTTTTCTTCAGATCAGCATCTTCCATCACTTTCTGTACAGGCTTCATGGTTGATCGGAAGAGGTCCTGATGGCAAGAAAGGACAATTAAGTTTTCTTTTGTCCTTTATTAGTTTCATTACCTTGTACTTATTTTTAAACAAAATTAAAAAAGTCAAGCTTGTGAAGTTAACAGTAAAGTTATAACTAAATCAAAACTGCTACAAAATGAGTGCTCTAATTCATTCTTCAGGGAGAGTAGCACTGTTCAAATGCCCAGTTGAGGTCAGGCAAACCAAAAATCAAAATTTGATTTTGCTGCACAGCATTCAATTTTCAGTGGCAGAATTTAACTGGTTAGGGCAAGGAACTTGCGCAGTCTACAAAATGTGTTAAAACACATCTTGGATTGTGACAAAGCAAAAATAGTATCTAATCTTCCCACCTTAGACTAAAAACCAGACATTTTTCTGTCTGAAGTTAGTGAAAACAACATTTGACCAGAAGCTCACTTCAGCTTTGGACAAAGACTAAAATGTACAGTAGCCCTCAAGTTTGGACACACTGCACTAAATAAAAAGGAGACTAGACTTTCTGGAAAGCCAGAGTTTGACTTATTCATCTCCCAAAACATTGGGCAATAATCCAAACAAGATTTGCAACATTTCAATGAGGAACCCAAGATAAGTGTTGAGCTGGAAGAACACAGCAGACCAGGCAGTGGAGGAATGGAAAACTGACATTTTGGGTTGAGACCCTTCTTCAGATGTCAGCTTGCTTGTTCCTCTGATGCTGCCTGGCCTGCTGTGATCCTCCAGCTCAACACTTTGTTATTGACTCCAGCATCAGCAGTTCTTGCTATTTCAATGAGGAACCCATCCAGGTTTGTGCATGGATGTGTTTATGAAAGGTTCCAGATTTAGAATGCCCAGTGATATATTTTCTAGAATTTAATAAATGATGAACACCACAGTAAACAATTATCACTGTCCAAGGAACAAAAACATTTATTAAAATACAATCAAGCACAATTTTAAATGAGCTAAATCTGAAGCTAACTCACCATATTCAGTTCTTCAAATTTTGCACGTGTTAAAGTTTCCGAGAAATCCTCACCCTCAAAGAAAGATTCAATTTCAATTCTAGCTTGATGTTGGGAAGACAAACCACGTTTGGCTTTTTCAACTTCACGGCGGAGTTTCTGTACAGCTCTGTTATCCTTTCGAACATCTTTCCCTGTTTTCTTCTTGTACAACTTGACAAAGTGTTCCATCACACGCTGGTCAAAATCTTCACCACCTGATTAAAACTCCTTGTTTAAAAATTAATTCTGACAGGCTATAAGATGTTAAAATGTAACTTATACATTGATAATCTTACCTAGATGAGTGTCACCATTTGTAGCAACTACTTCGAAAACACCATTGTCAATAGTA